AAGCATTTCACTGCATATCGTACTGTGTATGACTGTGTATGTGACAAATAAAATTTGAATTTGAGATGGATTAAATTTTATAGACTATCAGACAGAATAACTAAGTGAGGCAAATTACTGTGATGTGTTCAGTCACAGCATGATGTACTAATAATGTGCTGTTATTTATTTACAAAGACAGAGCCACTTCACTTCAGTAATAACTGCAATCTACCAAAAGCAGAACACTAGTCTCTATATTAGTTGTTAAAAACAATTAAATGTTATAAACTGTTTCACCATAAACCTGAAATCTGTGTGAACAGCTGGCCTCCACAATGTATAAAAAAACATTATTTACTGTCAGATCACGAGCTGTCACAGTTAATGTTACTTTGCCACACCACGTTTTTAGTTTTTTTTATAGCACACTGCAACATTCAGACAATAATCTAACACATTGACACAACTCATTAAAAGATGGATTTTCTGCATTTATCTGTTACAGATTCAGAAGAGAAAAGTGCCCCTCAGAGTTCAGTTCATTTCTGCACTGTTTCAGTAAAATACAGTATTACTGGGGAGCAGAAATAAGTGTATTTGCCTCTAACACAGCATAAGAACTGAGTGAAGACGTTTGTGACAGAGTTTTGGTAACGAGCTCACAGCTTTGAGCTAATTACGCACTTGTTCTCAAGACATGTCCCCCTCATAAACCTTCCTAGTAGCAGCTATAACAACCACAACAGGCAGAAGAAGATTTTTTTCTGCGTTAGATTTCATGCAGTTTGCAGTAAATTGTGTACCACAGACTTTAGATCAGGCAATCGTGATTTACAAATATTTTCCTCCGGAAAGTAAAACTTACAAATCCATCTGACATAAGGCTGCAAAAATCCTCTTGTCCACACCGTCCAGTCACAAACTGACTCTTAACTTCTTCAATAATTCCAGAAGCTTTGTGCCGTTATATAACTCAACTGTGTCCTGCTTCGGCTCCAAGCCACGGTCAGCATCTGACTTCATTTTTTCTGGACTCCACGAACAAAAGATTCCACAAAACCTTTCAGCTGAAAAACTTTATAAACAAACAACATTGGGCTGGTAGCAGCTCTGTGTGAAAAAGATGTGGACTCCTCTGGCTGTCACAGAAGCTCTTCAGATGCCACTCATATTTTTCTTTGTAGTGTCTCACCTTTTAAAGCAGTTTTTGCTTTAGTGCCTTTTGCATTTTCTGCTATCGTTTGAGTGCTTGATGTGCTTAGGACTGGTTTTTCACAGAAGCGGTGAAAAGACTTCACACAGTATGCGAACGTCCAGACGTCACACTGTTCCCGCTTTGTGGGCTTTGTTGTTGTGGAGGTGTAATCAGTTTCCTGTGACAAGTGTTCCCTGTGAGATTAATTCTGTGTGATTATATCTCAGCAGACAAAGAATTTCCACAATTTCTATAAATAATAATGGCTTTTATTTCAGGCACTATTTACAGGGTTTAAAAAAACACTAATCCCTTAAAAATAAATAAATGATAAAATAGTCTGCAGAGGTACAAAACCATCACCTGCTGAACAAATCAGA